TTTACCTGATTTTCTTACCCGTGAATTTTTGCAAGGGAGGTCGTACCTTACCACCTCTTCCACCTAAAGAACCACTCCCTCACAGTTTGCAACTTTTTTATAGGAATAAGAGTATGCATACTAATACATCTCAAAAATCGAAACAAAAAACCCCCATGGACTTAGTTCCTTTGCATCCATCTGAGCTCCCTGTGCTCAGCCAACCTTTTTTACCATTACAGCCCATGTCTCCACTACGATCTACCAATGTCCCAGAATATTATATTCAAAGTCTAAAGCATAATACACCAAGTCCTGCTTTTTCTAGAGCCTAAATCCCATATAAATCACCCTCTTCTTCCAGATCAGTGTATATTGATAATGCTTTTATTGCAGTCCTTGATGATAAACATGTCCAGATCAACCCAAATAAATTAGCTCCCCTATATCTTCAAAACCATTTAAGCCCTCTTAATGATATCAAGACTAGATAATGGTATGAGTCTGTTTTAATGGAAACCGGATCAGTTTCAATCGTCCATTTTTTTCAAGGCAACACCAATTTATATGCTTATTCAAAGGTACAAATAAAAAAGTTGTTGACATATGAAAATTGGGGTAATAACCTCATTCAGGGAATTTTTTTTATTAAATACAGAATATCAATACAAATATTACAGATATGCTGAATATCTTGAAGCATGGCATAAAATATTTTTCTACCAAAATCCAAATAATTCTCACTCTTAGTACATCCAGTTTAAAATGCTTATATTTGAAAGATTTCCCAGTTGGTTCCATCATTGGTTCTTTATTTGAGGATCCTCCATCCAAATACTACCTGATTCCTTCCAAGCTTTCCAACAAAAATTCTGTGAATATAATATTTGTTCAGACCAAATAAACTACCATCTGTACTTCATGGGCATTTATCAAATCCCATGGATTGTAAAATGGGAGTATGCTATTAATGAAAATACTTCGAATACTTATGAATACATTCCCCGTCTGGGGAAAAATACAAAAATTAAATGGTGGGATATATATAGCACTGACCCACAATCTTTTTCACTCAAGAGGATTCCTCCTTCCTCGGAGTTCTGTCATAATACTACTAAGAATAATACTGTTACTCTTAATACATTTTCTTCTTATATGAAAAAGTTAAAACACGCTCATCCCCATGCTACACTAGAAGAAATAGAAAAACAACTTTTTACAATATTTGCTGACCCTTCTACGTTACCTACAACATCAGAAGAAACTGTCCAATCTGGTAATCCTCTTCTTGAAGAATTTAACCAAAGGCCCGAAAACTGACGACCCGGCCTATTGGAAAATCTCATCTTTATCCTTTATTATGATATGACTCAAAGTAGATTCATTACCTTTACTTTATTCCAATATGACCCAAAGCAGATTCCTTTTGCTTGACGAGACCCCAACTACAGTAAATATTATTCCCTTGCATAATGTACCATTGCCACGTGTTTGATGAGACCCCAACTACAGTGAATATTATTCTCTTGCACAGTACACTATTGCTCCTCAAGCACCATCAATTGCCACGTTGCCCAATTGCCACGTGCCATCAACCGACAAGTCACCTCCGTCGATCATCACCTTATCCAGCCGTATGATTCATCTATCTTAGCCAGATCCCTTGTGATAAAGATAAGCAACAACAGCATGCCAGCAGCCGTCCACCTGGCAACCATCTATACAAACTTGCGCCTATAAATACATCTTCCCCAGATAGACAAAGCAGGTCGAATTCCAAGGAAGCCATACGAGAACACCTTCTTCATCACTCCTTTGTGAGTCACCCCCTCTCTTATTCCTCTTTGCAATTCTCCTTCTTTACTACTGCAAATTCTCATACAGTAGCTAGTTTTCATAACAGTCCTGTATAATCGAATCAAAATTGGTAACCTCTATTACTCCGTATTTTTAAATGTGTGATTGTAATATCTCTTCTCTTCCATCTTACTGTCCTTACGAATGAAGTTTCTTCTCCAGTTATTGTATTTGTAAACAGTGAGTTTTTATTATGATCTATGAGTTTTAGGATCTATCTGTCTATTATGTGTTTTATATCTGTTTATTATTAACGCAATTTAAGTTAGTATTCAGTATTAAAATAAGAAATTCAATCCATACGTCTTGGATTATCTTAGATATTTATGTAATATTTGCTGTCTTCGTAATATTCTTATTCTTTTATTATATAGGAATTTTACAATAATTAATTAACTACAATTATGCTCTATTCATGTTTTTAAGGTAGTAAATTTTGATTTAATCTAAACTGGTTGATCTTGGCGCGT